TAAAAAAAATTCAATCGTTTATGATTGTTTAGGTATAATAAAACAGTTATGGAAAGTGTACGAGGGAAATAGCAAATGTATGGTTCCCCTCGGAGGAAACTATTTCCCTCGGCGGCTTCCGCCTCGGGAAATAGTTTTCTACCTCGCGAAACCATAAATTTGCTATTTCCCTCGTACCTATTCCATAACTGTATAATGTTTCATTGCAGTGATAAAGACACAATGCTGAGTAAAAATAAGGAAAGCTGATGTAAAAAAGTTTTCACATTCATCCTAAAGTTTATAGTTAGGAATCCATAAGGTCTAATAAAAGACCCAAATATGAAACAGCTGCTCTATCTGACTTATATTTTATCTCAGCTTCAAAGAGAAATATTTAATCATCGCAGTAATGAAAATAAATGTTGTTTATTAAGAAATCGACCTCGATCTATCTTAATTTTGAAATTCAAAGCCACAACAATAGACTTCTTATATTGTTGTCATTAATGTTTAATCAATTCTACTTCATATGAATATAAAAATTTCTGTTTAATGAAATGGTGCACCAGTGACTCTAATGGGAATTCGAATAACGTGTTTGAAGACTTGATCTCCAAGAAAACATTCTAAAAATTAATTTTTCTTATGACCAATGAAAACGTAAATAAATCAGTAAGTTTCATTTTTACTAACAAAGCAGATGTCAATGGTGTACGTGTCCAAAACGATGGACTTGAATTTATTCGAGGTATGATGGTAAAATAGAATGCTTTGATGTAATTTTGTAAAGTTTGTGATTTTGAATTTTCCAAGAGTCTTTTTGTGTTTTGGAGTTAACTACTGTAGCTAAGTCTCATTTACATCACTTCATAAATATATATTTGTACAGTATACCTGAAGTTTCTCTCTACTACTGTTGATATTTTAGTGTGTAGAAAAGAAAGAAGCAGGATAGGTAGAACATTTACTAAAACAGTTAACTTCCTCAAACCTCCTCAAAATTATATTTCAAGTATTCAAATTATGAAGATATTAAAAAAAGACGGTCAGGAATTAGTATTTTCTTCCAAGCATATGTTTGCCTTTTGTCATGATCGGGAAAAAAAAAGAAATTTCGGTCATTTTTTTTTCTTTCTTTTTTTTTTCAAAATTAGAGCTTAATAATTTGTATAAAAGACGTCATTAATCATTTTAAGCAACAACAGAATGTGTTGTAAAAATTATTATATCGGCCATAATTTTGCAAAATGTTGACTTTTAACTACGAGATTACTGACACATTGATCAATTCATGTATCTTTTAATCATCTAAATTTTGCAAATTGCCCTCATGGATATCAAATCAATAAGGAGACATTATATTCAGTTTTATGGACTTTTGATCTTGAATACTGTTCGTTATTTCCATATTATTTTTCACTCAGCATTCAGGTGAATTGCTACTTACAGAAGTAGTCGATAGAATATGAAGTCGTCATTTTTTCATTAGGATTTGTTGTCAGTTTGCTATCAATATCTTTCAATATATAAATGTCTTAAGTTAAACATCTAAATGTTGAAGAAACACATTGAATGTTAAAAGCTTTAGTTATTAGGATGGGTGTTATGTTTTTTCATTGTTACCATGCAATTTTCTTGAAAAAGGAAAGAAAATCATTTTTTGTTCAGATTATAAAGTAATATTGCTTGTAAAGAAAATATATTTTGTAATATAACTTATTTATGCTTATTAATAAATTTTATTTAAAGAGAAATGTCAACGTAAGCAGTCCAATTTCAGTACCCAATTTTATTTTGTCAAGAAATAGTTATGATATTGACTAAAATGTTAACTCGATTTTAAAGGTGAATGAAAATATTAATGTGCAGTGTGTATTATTTTATCATTAGTTTCCTCTGGGTTTGGTTTGATAAATTCTTACTTAAAGTAAGTAATTAAGTATGTTATAATAACATTATTATGGTTGTTTCCTATGTATAGATGCATTATTAGTTTCTTTTTCACTATTCTGAAATAGTTTTAATATATATTTTTTTCTATTTTCCGGGAAGTATCTGTAACACAAATCAAATTATTTTCATATTAGAATAAGGATTATTCGACTTTTACATATGTAAATCTTTACATTCAATTTTACAACGTGTGGTCTTTTTAAAACTCTTTTATCTACAGGTATACAAAAGAATTTTTACCAGAAACAAATAATATATGTGTATTTAGATTAAATATATGCGTTTTTTCTGTGGACATCATTCTTTGAAGTCCTAATAAAATGGCAAGTTTTATCTGATATGTTCTTTGTCATTACCAAATGCAAATATATAACCACATGTAAATACCGCGAGTCCTGTAACGCATACACCATTTCAATTAATCAGTTGACGTTTTTATGAAATGGCATTCATAAAAAAATGACCATATTTCTCTTCCTGATATTTAAATCAATATGTGACAAAATGCAAGTGGTGGTCTTTTAAAGAAATATATAAATATATCTTCTTATGTCAAGAAACTGAAATGTTGTTTAATCTTATCTTAAAATGGACAACAAAAGATTAAAAGTAGGGAACCTCCTGGATGGAGAAAAAACTTGCATCAACCTGCTACCCTCGTACCTGACTCTTACAAAGTGATATAAGTTTAATATGATACAAATATAACTGATAATGAAAATAATTTACAATATTTCATCACAAAGCATAAAGAGGAAATCATGTCATATGAATGTTCTAGGTGGTCTGTAGCTCATTTTTGTTAAATTGTTTTAAACAGGGCTACTTGAAAGGTTTTCACTTCATCAGATGCGTGCATGTACGTGTGTGTGAGGGTGTTTTTGATTGTCAAAGGGGTTGTGAGTATGGAAGTAAAATATATGGAGATTACGAACAGTATTCAAGCTCAAACGTTAATTAAACAATACAAATATGGAGAAAAGCAAACACGGACATCTGAAACATTGAGGTGGGATCAGGTGGGATCATGTGCCATAGAGGTGTGTGCATCCCCTGACGATTGGTCACACCCGCCGTATGCTCCTTGTCATGATCGGGGTAAACCCTGTTAAAATACTGCTTACAAGTTTTATTTTTCGTTAAAAAAAACACAAACATTACTTGCAGTTCTTATTATTCTCCTATCGGTAAAATCGGAGATGACTTATGGTTTCCTATGAGTCTGTCCGTCCATATGTCTCTCCGTCCGTCTCTCTATCTGTCTTGCTATCTTGTTTCTTTTGGCAATTTTATTCTATATGTTTGCAGACAGATTGAGCTGATTTTTGGTATGTGCGTGTATCATGATGAGTTACAGATCCAGTTTGCAATTCGTTACGCTTCAATGATTTTTGACGGAATTATGGTATTCCAAAAATATATAATTCGGTTCACTACAAGGGTTGACAGCGTCCTTTCATATCATTTCTTATGACAATGTAACATGACAAGGTCAAATAAAAATTATGATTATCAATTGAAATAATCACCTTTATTTCTCTTTAATGAATGTTTATATCATATAACTACTATTCTATAATATTGTAAGAGATGCTTAAGTCCTCAATCGTTTGAAATATTACAATAACCAATAAAAAGATTTGGATGTCTATGTCATGAGTGATACAACCTATTTGGTTAAATTGCATATTTTTAGAGCTGGGCAACCAGGATCTTATATCTGTTTAAATAAGTATTCTGAATAAAGACTTTCTTCTTAAAGTTAAGATAAAACTTATCCAATCATATTTTACTTCCCCGTACATTCATGTTAATAGTCGAAAGATTACCATTAAACATACCTGTCTAATGAACATTGAGGTGAAAATGCTTCAACTTATTGATAATTCCAGCCCAAACAAGTAAAAACCTGTCCTGTGGGCATGAAGTACATATTTTACACATATATAGTAGTACATAAGCACTATATTTACTCTTCTCAAGATAAGCGATGAAAAACATTGTATATGTTGCTCTATGAACACTTGATTTAATAATAATAATAATCTAATAAATTTCTATATCGCCCTGTATAATAAAAGTATCACCCTAAGGCGCTTAACATAGAATGTACATAAAACACCACTGCATACATTACTTTAAAAAATCAGTACACTGAATTAAAAAAAAAAAATGAACGGTACATTTCGTACATTACAATCTTTTTACGCTTAACGAGAGATGACTCATTTGTTATTCAGAAGATAAGGTATATAATTTTTTTTTTCGGGATGATGATAAAACAAGTTTTAAATGTTTCAATACAAAAATAAAAAAAAATAAAGGTAGGAAAGATAAAATTATACTGAGTATTTAGTTTATTGTTAGCTCAATTATACAAATGAAAAAAGTACATAAGATATTGCCTAAACGACTTGAAGATTGGAGATAATCAAATTATAAAAATAAAATACCCTAACACCTTGAAAATAAGCCGCGGCTTGTTTTAAGTTTTGGTAAGAAAGTGGGGGCTTATTTTCAAAACCGTCTTATTTTCAAATCGCGGCTTATTATCAATACAACTTTTTATCAATAAAATAAATGGTAATCGATAGATTGAGAACTATTTTCTCGTTCTAAAAAAATATCCAGATAAACTTCCGTGAGAGTTAAATTAATAGTGTTCAAGTGTTGTAATTCTGTGCACCCGTTTTAAAAACGGTGAGCTTTTAGCAACGAAGACAGCTAAACGTACATTGTGAATTTATAGAAAATTTATGACCGGCTTATTTTCAAGTAATTTTCAGTGCAAGAAATAGATGGCTTATTTTTAAAACCTGTTTATTATCAAATCCGTCTTATTTTCAAGGTTTTAGGGTAATATTTTTTTCCAAATCAAATTTATTTAACTTACGTAAACTTTCATGAAATAATAGAATTAAATAAAATACTGAACTTATTCTTCGACAGAAAAACATAAACCTTGATAAAACGGAGTAAATCAAGTTTTAACAGAAATAAGTGTCAAATTTTTATCAAATCAGGAACAGTTTGGAACTGAAAGCAATCGATATATAACTTTATAAACGATTCCCCTTTACAGAATTAAATACCTTGGAAACATTACCGTGAGTGAAGCAGGTAAGTTGTCTATCCTACTTCTATGTTCATATGAAAGCTCAATTGTTTAAATCTTCTAAAACAAAGAATATGTAATAAAATTTGCTATTAATAAGATATACATACTTTATATTTCAGTGCGGATCATGTACGCATGCTTTTCATTTTGGGCTTTGTTTGCAGGTATCTACACTATTTCTCCCTTTATATTCGTTTTTTTTTCATTCAGTTTTTTTTTAAAAATGCATATACAATTAAACTTAAAACTTTGCCTTCTACAGTTTATCTATATCATGAAACTTTTATATACTCTACATTTGTATATAGAAATATTTATGGTCCTGAACTTTAAGTCTTAAATTTACCAAATATATTGTAGCTATTTGAAAAAGAAAGGATGTATTTTTATTTATTTTATTTGTTTCATTTTGATTTTGTGTTTTTCTCTTGATAACCGAATTCTACCTAGTCTATTTTCAAAGTGTTAAAGTCGCCGGCATGGCGCAGTGGTTAGAGCGCCTTCTCCAGAGTTGCAGTTCGAATCCCACTGTGGGACGTGTATACCGTATAAACCGAGGTCCCATGTCACATAACGTGCTGGCACGATGGCCCTGAGTGCCAAGTATAGAACAAAATTTGCAGCTCTCCACCGGCAGGTCGTGGCGTCTCCATATGAGTGAAAAATACTCGAGAGGGACGTTAAACAATATATAATCAATCAATCAATCAAAGTGTAAAAACTCTTTGATAATAATACACCATTTTTAAAAAAATTATTCTGGAAGAACTTTAAAGAAACCGAGAACAATGAAGCAATTTTCTTTCATGATATAATTGTTTTTTTTAATAAAAGAACTGCCGAAAAATTAATATCAGATAGTCACCAAATTAAACTTGTATGTATCTCACATTTACCGGTAATAATGTTTTTGTTATATTCAGACATGAAAAGTAAGTTTGAGTAGAATTTTTATCATTTTTAAATAGTTTTCTTTAAAAAAAAAATGCCCTCGAAAGAATGAAGTCGAATTTATTACTTTTTTTTCAATCATATTTTACAAAGTTGTTATTGATCAGTTTTCCATTTCTTTCAACTAGGATTTTGTTTCGGTTTAAATAAAGGACAGACTTTGAAGGTAGGTGTCTGTGATTTTATCTCAAGTAATGTCCAAACTCTTACAAATAAATTGTAGCTACGAAAACACTATTTTCTAACAATAAACACTTAATCGCAGAAGGTCCCTATATCTTCTTTTATTATAAAAAAGTTTTAAACAAAAATATCATAAATGTGAAATTATGCATACTGTTAAGCAATGAATGTGCAAATTTACGATAAGCGGATTTTGCTACTTTTTTCTCTGTCATTGACATTTTTTCTCGTAAACTATCCAAATCTCAAATTCTGTTGTATATCTTATCTTTAATTCATTAAATGAAATATATGGAGACAACAAACACCACCCAAGACCCAAAGTCCATAAAACAATACAAAATAGGAGCAGAGCAAACACGGACCTCCCAAAAATCAGAGGTGGGATCGGGTGCCGTGGAGAATTGAGCATCCCCAGTCGACTGCTCACACCCGCCCTGCTTGTCCTCTATATCATGATTGAGAAATAACAGAAGAATCCACAGGCAATTCATTGTGTAAATAATAGTCTAACAATGAGTTTGAGGAAACTGGCTGTGGTCTTCAACTCGACATTAAGATATATCGACGACGTACTTTCCATTAACAATAGTATTTTTCATTCCTATGTCGATACGATATGTCCTGGTGCGCTTGAAATAAAGATACCACAAAGTCTGAAACATCTGTATCATATTTGGATATTTTAACTTGAAAAAAGACGTTAGTGATAATCTAACAACCAAGCTCTATGATAAATGTGATGACTTTTCTATAGTCAATTCCCTTACTTGTGCAGTAATATACCTTCATCCCCTGCACGTGGAGTTTATATATCTCAGATGTTTCGATACGCAAGAGCATGCTCTACGTATGAACAATTCCTAAAACGAGGTAAATTACCGACAAACACTTTGATGAAACAAGAATACCTATAGTCTCGTTTAAAGTAATTATTTCGTTAATTCTATAGATGATACAATGACTTTGTCAGCAAATACAATTTATTATTGAGTTAAATGCTGACTGACGTTTTTAGTACTTATTGTTAGTCCATTATTTATACACTGAATTGACGACGGATTTTTCCGTTATTTCCCAATCATGACAAGGTGCACAAGGCGGATGTGACCGATCTGCAGTGGATGCCCACTGACCTCCATGGCACCTGATCCAAGTTCCGATGTTTGGATTTTCGTGTTTGCTCTGCTCCTATTTTGTACTGTTTTAAGGACTTTGAAATTGAATACTGTTCGTTATCTCCATATGTTTGATTTGAAAAATGCCAGTCAGTATTTGGCTCAATGATTAATTGTATTTACTGATAAGGTAATTGTATCGACCATAGAACTCACGAAATTCAACGAGGCTGTTAATATTCCTTTTCCATCAACTTGTTTGTCAATAATTTACCTCGTTTTAAAAACTGTACATACGTAGAGCCTTCACTTTTGTAGCAAAGCAGCTTAAAGATATTAACCCCGAATACGGCTGGTGAAAGTATAATGCTGTATACGTAAGGGGAATTTGGTGTTTTAGAAGTCCGTGTTTTCTTCTAATTTGATTAGTATTGTTTGAATGGGCTTTTAATTTTAGAGCTTGAATACTGTTCGTTTTTTCCATATATTCCTTTACGTAAACATTAAAGATATTATATTTTAAATCGTTTTTTCTGCCATCCACACTACTTGAATCAACCAACATATACCTTAGAAAAAGCTCTTTAAACATGATTTTGTAATTTTTAAATAACTTTATAAGATGAATAAACGCTTCTATGAACCTATTTAATCTTCATGGGACAGAATATACCATTGGTCACCTTTTTAAAACAGGTTAATTCATTAGAAGATGTTAGTATCTATAACAAGGTTAAAGAAGTTTGCGATCTGGAGGGTCTCCGACACTTCCCGTACATTCACTGTTTTGACAACGACCACGCTCCTATATACATCGTGTTGATGAATGGATCCAGCCTCAGTGACGGAACTAAATGTCTTGTGTCCTGCAATCATAAGAGGGCTTTATCTACGTGGAAGGCTTGTATAGACGGAGAATGGGTTGGGTCGGATTTAAAATGTGACAGTAAGAGGGATGATGTTTTGTTTAAATAAATGTTGTTGTATACTGAAATCGTTGAATTGTTAAAACAAATAAACATTTTGATGTTATATGCATGATTAACTTATTTTTCGCATTTTCAATTTTAAATTAACTTCTCCTTTAACTGATATTTTTGATATTATTGTTTTTGGTATTACATATTCTACTGATTTAATCAAAGATTTGACATTAATTTTACATGTATATGTCCATATGATTAGAGACACAAAAGAAAGGGCGTGGCCACAGTAGACAGAAGCGATGGTGGTGGGGAGGTGGTGAGTACTAACATATTTTTATGATGGTAACAATATATTACCGTATAGCGGGTTTCTTGGCATTTTGGCTGCTCAAAGTTAAGGTATGCTAATAATTTTGGCGTATTATATTTTAGCGGACACTGTCTTTCAGCTCTCTTGAAGATGAACACTAAGAAGAGTACTGACTATTTTAGCGATTAATTTTTTAGCGGAGAAAACGCCAAGATAAGCCAAAGATAGCTCTCCGCTAAAATAACCCGCTATACTGTATTATCATTATTTTACAATTAAAGTATATAATTGATGGGGTCAGCAAAATTCCAGTTCAAGAATTATTATTAAAGGAACTGGAATAAGGCTATCCTCATTAATTATATACTTTTTAACTGTTTTTAGTATTTATACAGCAATATACCCCTATCACCAGCGCAAGGGTTTTTATTTCTCTATGTTAATTCGATACGCAAGATCATGTTCTACGTATTAATAATTTCTAAAGCGAAGTAAGTTATTGACAAACTAGTAAATGAAATAAGAATACATGTATCAGAAATCTCGTTTAAAGCGTTCATTTCATTAGTTATATGATCGTCACAACGATTTTGCCAGCGAATACAATCTATCATGTAGTTAAATGCTAAGTTTTTTTTTCAGACTAATTCTTATGTCATTATTTACACACTCAATTGTCAACGGATTTTTCTGTTGTGTCTTGATCCTGACAAGAAGCATACGGCTAATGAGACTGGTCGACAGGGGATGCTCACTCCTTATGGCACCTGACACAATATCTGATGTTTTTGTCGTTCGTGTTTGCTTTTGATTTTTATTATTTAATGAACTTTTAAAGCTTGAATATTGTTTGTTATCTGCTTATATTTCACCAATACAAAAGTACAAAAAAGAGGATTACGGAAAACTGGTAGTAAGCTTTCGTTGCGTAAATTCGCTCACAGGCTCACAGGGATATACACTATACAAAATTCTTATTTGTGAATTAAATATTTGATTTATCGGTATAAGTGTATATAATATGCCATTATTTCCTAAACAGTGGGATTGACAAAAATTCTTTGTATCATGAAAACCCTTGAATTACCTTCTTGTCCGAAAAAAAATTTCCAGCTGTGTACTGCGCACTATTTAGGCCCAGATTCTTGATCACTAAAGTTGATCTCTGATGTTGCCACAGGGGTAGTCCCCTAACTATAAATCAAATAACAAATAGTCATTGACTCTCACATGGCCTAGTAATCATACGGTGCCTTGGTGTCCATACCAAATCCACTCAACTTCCGGTTGACCTAGTTTTGTGGAACAATATCAACGTATTGTATGCTGCTATCCTAATGCCGTGGCTAATCTATAGTAAACAGTTTATTGTTTACTGTTTGCAATAATTTTTCATGAGTGGAATTGATAAGATTTTTGTTGTTTTCATTTTTTACAAATCTAGAGGAACCCCCTGCAGACGTCATACTGTCTGTTTTAGCGCGCTCTTCTACCGATAACTGCCGTATTCGGTGTAACTTTTCTTTAATTATAAGTTTTTAATTTGTACAAATGTAAAGAACACAAATATAAAGAAAAAGATTGAAATAGACACGATTTTAAATTTTCTATGAATGTCACACTTTAGTAAACATTGTAGTTATCTATAAGATTTTGCATTAATATGCCTTATTATTATTTTTTTATTAAAGTAACGTATTTGCAAATCAAATATTTCATAAACAGGTTTTTAAAAAGTAAAATATAAATTGTCTTATGTGGGGCGTTCGCAATCTTGTCTACCGTTTATTTCAAGCTCACCAGGATACATCGTTTTGGCGTAAGAATGGAAAATAACATTAATAATACAGTACGTCGTCGATATATTTTTAAGTGTCGAGTTGAAAGTCTCAGCAAGAGTTTTCTGCACAAATTCCGCTTCATATGAATGCAAAACAAGGTTTTCTTATAACAATCTAACTTTAATAATTATAGGAAAATCTCAGTAAAGGTGAAATTAAATAATAATAATGTTTTGAGATAAGGTTTATTTTTGGAACGCCGTAACTGCCTTATGTGGAGAACTTTCATTACATGCTGGTACTTTGTCATTATATGCTGGTATTTTGTCATTATATGATGGTACTTTGTCATAATATGCTACTACATTACATTTTATGCTACTACTTTGTCAATATATGCTACTACTTTGTCATTATATGCTAATACTTTGTCAATATATGCTACTACTTTGTCATTATATGCTACTACTCTGTCAATATATGCTACAACTTTGTCATTATATGATGGTATTTTGTCATTATATGATGATACTTCAACATTATATGAAGATAATTTTTAGATAGGTACAACATCGAGATCGGGATACCGTTAACTATAGTAAACTAGTTTAAGGGAAAAATGGCGCAAAATTGTGAAAACGCGATCACAGTGAAAAGCATCCTCAAGGAACTAAAGATGGGTCCACAGGTGATTGATAGATTTTTAGAAGAAAGAATAAATGTTGATAATATTTTGGCTTTGTCCTGGACCTTCTGGGGGCTTTAATGCAGTCTTCTACTGCGCCCCCGCCCACGTTTTGAAATTCCTGGATCCGCTGCTGAATGAATATTTAGACAGTTTAACTGCTAGTACATATTTTTTCACTTCCTATTTAGATTTGAACGACCAATATAGGGTTATTATTTTTTATGTCAGGTTTCTTATATCGGCACCCTAGATGGGAACTTGCATCTATTGTTAAATTGTTTGTTAAATCTACGTATTGTTTTCAGTTCTTGCAAAGCGTCAATTGATAATTGTTACAACTATAAGTATGGCACACCAAATTCACGAAAACGAGCTAAACATAGTTTCACACTTGATAAACTAGATTTATTAACTGTAAACTATTGTTTAAAAACCGTAAACTATAGTTAACAATTCATCAACTATATTTTTCATCTGTAAAACTATTATTAACAATATGATGACTATAGTTTGCATCTTTAAAACTATATTTAACTGTTGTTAACTATAGTTTACGAATGCTAATCTCAGTTTATCTGTCTGTAAGAAAACATTAACAATATATATATATATATATTATACATATATCACATGACTTTGAGGGCAACATACCAGAATATTTGCCCCGAGGTGACAGGAAAGCCCTGGAGTGTTATGTCACCCGATACCGATATATATATAGAATGATGATATATATATATATATATATATATAGAATGATGATATATATATATATATATTCAAAAAATTATTTTTCCTTGGTATAGGGATAAAATAAAATCCAAATTCAAATGATAAACTCAAACTTTTATCTAAAGCGCTTTCGCCCCATGCGGGCTCATCAGTAGATTTGAAATTGTAAACAAGTTACATTATGACGTCATTCTCGTGACGTTATGTAGGCAACGTTAAACATAATGATTGTGACGTAATAATAATCACAGTTAAAAGAGGCGCACAGATAAAGTTTTACAGCTCATCTGATCAAAGTTAAGCGCCTATTATAAATGTACAATAATGGAGACATTTTATATAAAATGTACATAATAAAATAATTTGATATAAATTCCTTTTAGCAGTTCAATTTTGGTTTAAACAGATTTATAAAATATTGCTCTTTGGCTTTCCGTAATTGTTCATTTTCCTCTTATATATATATATATAGCTTTTGTTGATAAACATAGATTCACGTCTGTAAACTATAATTTACAAACAATCTCGAACTATAGTTAAGAGTTGTTAATCATAGTTTCACAACTCGTGAAACTACATTTATTAGATCTTGAACTATATCTAAGAGTTGTAAACCATAGTTTACAAATCGTGAAACTGTATTTATCAGATAATCCATGTTTTGCAACCGCAAATGATTTTTTCAGTGTTAAGTATAGTTTACGGTTCTGAAACATAGATTATCGCGTTAACTATGGTTTACAGATATAAAATATAGATTAACGTTCAACTTGTTAACTAAAGTTTAGAATCTCTAAACTATAGTTTACAACCGATAAACCTAGTTTATCGACTGTGAAACTATGTTTGGCTCATTTTTGTGAATTTGGCGTGCAATATATAATACATTATTGTAATAAACAAAGGTCATCCTTTAACATGGGTGGATCCAGCAATTTTTGAAAAAGGGGGGGGGGGGTTCCGGTGTACCAAGCATTCATGCATAGAATCACACCATGGCCACGTCATGTCCGTAGCTTCATTTATAAGAAGGGGATCCAAAAACATTTGACAATAAAAAAAAAAACATAAACAAAAAACTATACACCACTTTTTGAAATTGGGAGGGGGTAGAGGGGGGCTTCGTGTCACTTTTCTGTTCGTTACATTACTTTCAATCTTAAATCTGCGTATTTTCCAGCAACAAAATATGTGGAGGGAGCTTTCAAAACAAAATATTATTTAAAACTGCAGCAAAAGATAATTCTCAGAAAAAGTGAGCCCCCTCCCTCTTCATACTACAGGAATATTTTAACATTTTTCTGTATTGATTAAAAATATTCAATATGCATACTTCTAAAAGTTAGTTACTTCTGAAGATGGTCCAGAAATGGTATAGCTAGAGTTCGCTGGAATCTTCCTTGCATGTTACTTGTGGATATTAGGAGCCCTTTGGCGGGGTTGTGAAGGTACACGGAGGAAAGCAAATACGCAAAAATCTACAGATCTAGCGAGCAGAAAGGACAGCGATTTTTTTTTATTTTTCAAATGATTAGACATATAAATATCTATCACAGGAAAACTTTTCTCTCTCTCTGTGTGTACAAAAATAAGTGGGGGTTCAAACCCCCAGAACCTCCCTCTGGTCTGCCAATGCATTAATATAATTTGGATTAATTTTCATTTATTGTAAGTTAATTAAAAGGAATCAATAAAACACACTTGAACACATTCATATATTTATATCATATTGGTATACCAAATGGAACACCAAAGCGATTATACTTCTCAAATTGACAAATAATTTTAATTTTTTCTATACGTGTGATTCGTCCGTACGTTTCGTCAGTTACACAGGTAATCACAAAGTAAACAAGTTTACCGTTCGTAAAACAGATATTCGTTCGTTACGTGTTTGGTGTTCTCTATTACCCTGTGGTGAGCCTCCGTTTTTCATTATGTACATATTTAACCCTTTTTCAGCCTCAGATCACTGGACCTTGAAAGTAAGTTTGAGTCCCTTCGGCAGTTGGACACGGCAATCCTGATAGAGAAGGACGTTTCTCTACTTCTCTAGATTTTGGTACATTTTGTGCTATAAAATAGTCATGGCAGACTTAACCATAGTTTTGCTGTAATTGTCAATATTTAGTGTCCCACTTTTCTGAGGTAAGTCTTGCTTTTATTGTTAACTAAAATGTAATACTATAAATATCTTAAAACAACCAGATTCGGAATTTCTCAACATAATCAGTCTTAACTGTTTTACTATTTGAGATTTATTATCTTTTATATTTCTTTATACGTTATTTATAAGTACAGTTAGTCAAAAGTGTTCGAGTAATGATTGTACGGTGTCTCGTTCGTGTCTTTTAGTATGTCATTCGTTCTGTAATATTTGTTACAAAGTGTAAAGTAAAGGTATAATATTGTAGTAAAGCATCTTTATGCTATTTGTACGCCATATGTACATGTGTATGCACAGTTTTAACTTACAATGTGTAAAGTATATGTCTACCTTGACATTATATTGTGCATGCGTAATTAACAGGTCCTCATCCTGTTTGTGTAAATGTCCCTGTACCAGACAAGGCCACATCTAGAGTCTTGGGCTCAAGACGTATACCTTTTCATTGTGTGTGTGTTTGTGTGTGTGTAGGCCTCCATGCAGTAGAACAGAAGGAATGATTTCCAAACCAGTCCAGAGACCAATTGTATCCGTGTTAATCATCGCCCAGCTGAATATTTACAGTTATCCAGTTTATTTTGTATATTTTGATTTATTAAATGTAATGTTTAAAATTTAAAGGAAATTTTGTTGTAAATTAATCAATTAGAAAGGCGGTTTGGATCAACATTCCATAAGCTTGGTCATTAACATGACAGTCTCCGAGAAATGGTCAAATGCAAGACCGAAAGAAGTTCAAAATACCAGTGGAGGATTTAAGGGTAAGAGGTAAAGCTACTCTTACCGATTCCCGAAGATCCCAGAATTTGATATTTGATGATTTGATAATTTGTATGCACAAAAACACCCACATATTTTCTTTCTTTTCCTTGTAATATATATATATACTTATAGAGCTCTTTGTCACATCATGTTCACAGCCTGACTCTCTACGACGTTGACATGGTTCTACGTCAGAGCAGCCCTTTTATTATTTTTTTAATTTGATTGTACTTTTGTAAATTAATTATGTCAATAGATTTGATCTAGTAGCAGTTTACTACACAGAATTTATTTTTTATTATTTGAGACTGACAGAGTATCTCTTCACTTTCACTGTATCAGGTGATTAGAAAATTAATTATTTTACCTAAGCTAACACTGTTTCAATAAAGCTTTTAATCATAATTATCGTCTGCATTGACATGTTAAAAAAAAACTTTATATGATTGAAATTCTTAGGGCAACTGACTTTAAAAGTCATTTTCATGTTAAGGATTTTATAAAAATATGTTCATATTTTTTTAACGTCGCAATTTAACTGAAATACTAATTCCATCTTTTTTTAAAGAAGAAATATCTTCCCAAATAATATTGATATTAAAATCCACGAAACCTCACGTCTCCGCTCATTGCTATGTATCGATAATTAATGAGCATAACTTTAAGTAAAATAAAGAAAATTATATAAGAGTTGTGTGCATACAAATTATCTGGTATGTAAATGGGGTTTTCCTTTTATTTTATTTAGGAGTTATCAAAACGTTCGTGGACTGAGGCTATAAAATTAATACTATGCAGTCTGTGCTTTCAAAAATTTATATGGAACATAAAACAACAAAAAATAAAGACATGTTGAAAAATTTAGCCCGATACGTTCATTATTTGCCAAATTATTATAAAATGAAAACGACATTATATGATCACCCGGCGCCGTCGTCGTTTATTTTCATGACGTCCGATAACGTCATTTTTTTTCAATGTCCGCTTCTTCTATACTGCATACACTTTTTTGATGAGATTCCCTGGAGCTAAGTAAGGACTTAAACCTGCCTTGTTTATATGACTCTACAATGTCATGAACAGTGGCATTCAATGAATATAATATTCCAAATGGATTAGTACACTGGGAAAGGTCCGAGCTTGATTTTGCCGGCATATTTTGCTTTTGGGAGTTCAATATCTACAACACATGATTAACGTCATTTTTTGACATGATTGATTTTTCACACCTTAACTGCAAATCGACATTAGCTGTGTATCCCTTTTCTCTCTGAATCTATTTTGACATTAAAGACAAGTACTCTGGATGCATATTATTTCTCTGTAGCAAGTTTCAACATATTTTAGGTCTATACCAGTTTTTTTCAGGGGCAAAACTTTATAGAATGTTGGAAACGGAAACCCCTCCCCCTTTGACTTCCTTTTCAAGTCCTCATTTGTTTGGACATTCCATGTAAAATTTACCATAACATTTCATAGAACCTTCAGAATGAAGTGAAAATTTTATATTTTATGGAACAAATGTATCCCGACACAAACCTATATTAACGGGAATTTTGGATGTCAAATGATCATATCAAAAGATTTTTCTTAGTTACACATAGATCGCAAAAGTGTCGTGTACGAGGTTGCGCCGCCTGGACATACCATTGCTTTCAAAAACTTTACTTATTTATTAAAAATTATAATTTATGATTCATGGTTTATTCTATAGATATAAAAGATGATGTTAACTAAATATTTTAAAATTATAATGTGCCTAAAGCTGTTTTAATTTTATGACGCTAGTCCACGAACTTTTTGATAACCCCTCGTATATACTTCATTTTGTTGTTTTTAATCGCGATTCTACGAAAACATCGGTGTCTGTTTTTGGTTTTTAATATTAGAGTACTAGATTTACAGCTCTTTGGCAAGTGATACTCATACTGCTGATTCAGTAATAAATACAAATATCTCCTAAAGTTTTTCTACATCTGTGAATTCATTTAAACCTAGAAAATGTTATGTAAAATTATGAATAAATTCTGTGCACCAATAAAAAGAAATCGCTAAAAATCCTAAATCCGGGACCGTTGGAACTCGGGAAAACTAGATTTACCGCTTGCCCTTAAATTCGCCACTGGTATTTGAACTTCTCCTGGTCTTGCATTTGACCAATTCTCGGAGACGGATTCGATCGCCAATAGTAGTAATTCCAGAACTGCTGCAGTTGTTGATCGCTCTTACAAGCTTAAAATATTATCAACATCTATTCTCTCTTCTACAAATCTATCAATCACCTGTGGACCCATCAGTTCCTCGAGGATGCTTTTCAATGTGATTACAAAAACTATCTTCATATAATGTTGAAGTATCATCATAAAATGACAAAGTACCAGCATATAATGACAAAGTAGTAGCATATAATGACAAAGTAGTAGCATATACATGTAATGACAAAATACCATGATATAATTATAAATACCAGTATATAATGACAAAGTACCATTATATAATGACAAATACCATCATATAATGACAAAGTACCAACGTATAATGACAAAGTACAAGCATATAACGAAAGTTCTCCACATAAGGCAGTTACGGCGTTCCATATTTATTTGAAACAGTCGTTTATCAATGATAGAAAGAACCATCAACCAATGATATATTATATCATAACATAAAACTACATTGTTATAGATGATGGTGATCACACGCCGCCAGATATAAGTTGTCCTTCGAATAAATATGTCTATGCTGGCTACACTGGAAGAGCACAGGTGTGGTACAACCTTCCGACAGCAACCGATGGTGGCTCCCACGATGGCATTACGTACGTTTGTACTCCTACTTTGTGAAATTTACATTTTTCGCAATTTAAAATTCACCTTTTTTACAGAACTTTATCAAAATCAATTTAAAAAAAGTGTCATGTGTATCTGTTGAGGAAGGTTACAACTCGATTTTCTTAATGGATTTGCTGTTTTGTAGCAACTTTTAAAATTTAATTAATATGTTTTCCCTTTACTTTTAATTTTTATTTTTTTTAATTCTGCACAAATTAAACCTTGATTTCACTCGACATCTTGTCTTATTATCTGTCTGATTTTGTTATCACTGCTGGTCGATAATATATTATTGGACTGGTATGAATTATTATTAAAGAACGACTGTTTTTATTAAACTTTTAGCATGCAAGAACAAGAGCCTTACGTCACAACAATGTTTTAAATTTATATAGTTTACAAAGCCATGCGGCAACTGGTTGACAAGTTTGACTGTAAATACTGAGAAATCATCAATGCTCGTGGGGAATCGATGTTCGTGGATTTTGAGGTTCAACCTTATCCTGGAATCTACATCCCCAAGAATATAAAAATTTGTGTTGACATACCGTAAATCTGGAAATTTTTGCTGTAGATAAATATTTAGCAAATTTGCGGGTTCATTGCATTCGCAAAAATATTTTCTTAAAAATAAATTACCAATAACTAAACGTAAACAAAGCAATGGTCATTCGCAAAATTTTGAAACGTAAATATTAATCAACAGTATTTTGACCCGAATTTGCAAAATAAAACGACGCAAAAATTTCCAGATTTACGGTATATATTTATTGAATATTAAGTATGTATGAGTTACCCACGAAATTATGCCCCACGAACCAACAATATTTTGCTTACCCACAAACATTGACCCCCACGATTTAAAATGATTCCACAGTATAAAGAAATTAGGTGATTGTAACAGAAAGATTAAGGAGTAATTCGCTATGACAAAAGAATTGACCTATAGGAGAGAACAATTTACCGGAAAAAGTGACATTTAAAAATGAATCTTCGTTTGTTGTTTTCTACCGTATATATATGTCTAAATTTTTCAAATTTGTATTTTATACCTAATATTTATTATTAACAACTTTACAATAAACCTCCAAAGTTGGCCAAAACACTATTTTGTCCGTTAAAGCGTTAATTTTTGCGTGTATTTTGGCCTAGAAGTCCTTCAGCGCAGGCCTGCCCCTAAATAAAACTGTGATATTTTGATAGGTTGGGATATAAAGAATAATTTAAGATAGGAATTTTTTAGGGGCACTCCTGCCCTAGGGTCAAATTCACAAAAAACCCACAAAAAATAAGGAAACCTGATTTTGATCATCTGCTTCAAATTTATACCTCTTATTATTAAAGTCAGACAAGCTCAGTTGATATGTGCGCTGATTTTTACAACGTGGAAACTTTCTTTTTACAGTCGGGGTTCGAATCCACCTGGTACCACACTTTTAAAGTTTTTATTTTTCGCCTTTTCAAAGACTATTTTTATTTTTTTTATAGACTTATGTATTTTCTTTCAATTATCTATCCATGTATATTGCATCGCTCATACATTGGTGAACATCGTTCGTACATCGGTCGACTACGGGCCAATGTTTGGTAGAATATCGACTGATGATCGGCCGATGTCTGTTGTCCACCACTAAACTCCCCGATAACCTCAGATTAAACGGATATTGGACGATCCTCGGCCATACATCGGCCGATCCTTGAAAGATGTGTTAATGATGGGTTGCCGATGAGGAGCGATGTAAGGCATCGTTGGAGACATCGCTGAATTTTAACTACGAATTATTTCCTACCGTGGTTGCCCGGCCGGCAACCACGCCATTTTCATCAAAAAGCGCATCGGTTTCTCATCGTATACCCCATCGTTGGATAATGTGACTTAAAACATTTTTGTGACGTCATCTTTTGTTAAACCTGGTTCAATAAATTTGTTATTGTCCTGCACCCAGTCCAATAAGTTACCTGTAGGTGTCAAATAAGATTCAACTTATTGGACAGGTACAGGTAACGTTAAAATGAGAACAAAGGGCGAGGCAAATAAGTAAGCACCACGTAAAAGACAATGACAAATCAAACAATTTAATATGAACAATGTAGGAAATTAGTAGCGTTAAATGTTATTATTATCCTTCAGAATTATACAGTCAATCTGATTGGTTTAGAGCAGGTCACGTGCAGGGAGACAACTCGTGATGTCTCCCTCACGCGCAGGGTGACAACTGTTATCTCCCTTCAGATGACAATGAAATAGCGTAAGCGAGCATGCACGGTTACAACTGTGTTGTCGCCCTTTGATAAAGACTACAGTGGTTTAAGCGAGATAACTCCTATTTATAAGTACAATGGCTAAATATGCGGGATCGGTAAACAATAAATTCTAACGATGACGTCAAAGTTGTCTGTTGACATATTTTGAAAGGATGGAATCGCAGAGTAGAAGAAAACAAGAGGTTTGATTAATATTTTCTACTCCATCTAATTGATAATTAAGTTCCTTCAGCATAATAAAATTATCAGGGACTGTTTAGAAGGGAGACATCACCAATCTTCAGGTCTGAGTAGGGTTGCCACCCTCGGGCGCAAGCGCCCTCGGGTGACAACCCTACTCAGACCTGATAACTGGTGATGTCTCCCTTCTAAACAGTCCATAATTGTATAATATCTCACAAAAAATCCTATTGAAAATGGCACAAATAATCCAGTGAATTGAATGTCTCAGATTCATTATTGTAAACGCATCCGTGGCTCCGATTATAAATTTCCTGAATTCACCGTTCATTATACAGTTATTGACTGGGTATGAGGGCAACATATGATTTGTTGGACCTGAAGGTGAAAATGTTGCCCGAGGCCGCAGGCCAAGGGCAACATTTTCACCTTCAGGTCCAACAAATCATATGTTGCCCGAATTCCAGTCTATAACTGTTTTGTTATACCCTTCACTGCTCACTTACGATTGATCAATTTAATCAATACACGCTATATTATCAATTATTTTATATGGAAAATTATGGCTTCTTCAGTAAATATATAACATCAAGCCGAGAAAGAACAAAATCAATTATATATCTGTTGTATCACAAAAATTATTTATCACAAAACATACTTTTCCCTTCTTCCTTACCGTGCTGTTAGCAACAACTCTTGTAGCTCTTAACTTCGGCTATTTTCACGTCGCAGATATTGAACGATGATTAAGTGTGACGTAACAGACGAGTGACGTTGCGGTCTAACAATTCTTATGTAAGACCGGTCAATAGTGAAATTGTTAGACCGATGTAATTAACAGTTCTTTTGTTGGACTTTTTATAAGTAATAAATATATAGAATGATATTTATAAGGGTATAACAATGCTATTTAATACATTCATTTCACAATGATTGATCCACGGAACATATATAGAATCCAATGGACACAAAAGATGAATGAGAAGCATGTGTTTTCTTGCACACAACCTTGGGCTTTTTGTTTATTGAAATATTTAGGTTTATCTCATATGGATAAGCCAGTTTATTTCGAGCACAACATTTGCGTATTATAAGAAGGATAACTCTAATTTTGGGTGCAACCAATTTAGCGTCGTTGAGCATGCTCAACTTCAGCTTCCTTTTCCGTCATTCTCCGAAGGTGTAGGCCGGGAAAATTTTGGAGTGTTTTCCTGCACACAACCTGGGGCTTTTTTTTTTTTATTGAAATATCCATTTTTCCGCATTTAGCACAAAATTTAGCTCACGAAATTCCAACGGAATCTGTAATTTCGTCCGGTGATTTCTGACCATTTGTCCAACTAGTCCTACGTCGTTTAATCGAGTATCTGTCGTTTTAAGGAGTGGCTGGTGTAAAATCCTTCCGAGTTGGAAGCCTGCTCACAAAAGAGAATTGCATTTTTAAAAAATACATCAGGAATAATCTCCCAATTTCATAGAAAATGCTTTAATAAACAGTCGTCTGAGTAAAATCCTTCAAATCCTATTGCTTTACAAAAATTACCTTTTAACGGGAATTGTTTCTTGCAAATTCCGAAACATAAGAATGTATATCCGGATTTCACAGTAAAGACCTGAACTCAGGCATCTTGGTGTAATCAATGAATGGCATCGTCAAAACACCCGATTCTGAAGGTCTTTTTTTTCAAAATTAAAATGTACGTCTTCATCCGTGGCCATTGCGTTGTAAAATGAATAAATTGTAAAGAATTTAGTAGAACTGACTTTTACGCATGCGTAGTATATATAAAAAATGTCGCAATGCGGATAAATAAGACTAAACAAAGTTAATTTTCATATTCATCGATATAAAACACCTTTCGATGATTCCTACTATTGATAAAGACAGAAGAAAAACCAAAACTGCGTTTTCTTTGGCCTAACTTGATGAACAGTGCCAGGTAGTCATCCAAGCAGATCGAGACCTTACCTGTGACTGTCCAATAAGTTAACAATGGAAGTGTTCGACAATGGTGAAATGTTTTAAGTAAGTTATAAGCCTCAAACTGACCATTATGTCAGATATTAGACGACCCGAGGCGCGTTAGCGCCGAGGATCGTCTAATACCTGACATAATGGACAGTTTGAGGCTTATGGAGTTTTATGAAGAGACTTACTTTTACATTCGACAGCTGACTTTTACATTTTAAGTAATGGGAGTTGGTCTATGTATAAATTGTAAAAGTCAGTCGTCGATTGTAAAAGTAAGTCTCTTCATAAAACTCCTATAACCATTACTTATACTTTAATAGAGATCAGATCGTAACAATCCAATGTAAAGTTGTCAGTCAGGCGGAACAATATAAGCGCACTTTCTCCGAGGACACGAATAGCACACTTTGTGTTACTCGATACAGGTATTCTTGGCAGCATTGAGCTGCAATGAATTTCATTAGTTTATATTCCTTAGAATTTAATCATTTTGTCTTTGGCTACATATATCAGTAACTGATTTCTTTGGATTTCATTTAGGCCTGTATAATTTGCACACATTAATGGCATGTTTTATTATATCCACGGATAAATAGCCTAGACATAAAGAATAGAATTTCAGAGACAGTAGACGTTACCATTATGCACAATGAGAAGTAAAGAAAAATATTAATTATTACATTTGGATATAACAAACTCAGAAAATCAATGAAAGGGTTCCTCCTATCTCTACTCACTGAAATAAAGATTTAGGGAAAACAAATTGTAATATGTATTCAGCCTAATGTCATTAATCAGAACGGAAATGAAATCGACAAGCTTTTTGTAGAGAATAAAACCAAGCCCGGTCCTATAGGTCAGATCCCTATTTAAAATGAAGTGATCCTTTAATTCATATACAAAAATATAAAGATCATCATTGCTACTGCCTACAGCAAATGATAAGCATAACTTTCAGTCATATATGGGCATTTTTAATAGCATGCTCAGCAGTTTGTAATAAATAATAGCGAGCGCAGCGAGCGTCGCGAAGCGACGCTCGCGAAGCGAGCTCAATAGACTAACGTGTAAGAACAGAGGAAATTCGGATTGAAATCTGTACATACGTCAGCCAAATTTCTCTGTGCAACATTCCCAGAATTCCTGTACTACCCAATGTCCTTTGCGCGAATATTGCCGAATAAATAAATAAATAATAACGTAAAGCATATATCAGGCTTTCAGTTTGTAGAAATCTTTCAAAGAAACAAAAAATAACTCTGCAATGTTTTTCGACAAAAATTGCACTAGTTCTATAGTTTCAAACAGACGCTCGGCTGTCTCCGTAAGCTCCGACGAGCTTTGTGACGTCGTATGACGTCACAGCTAGTCGAAAAGTCTCGTGCGGCTTGACGTTCGAAGTGGCTGATCTCAAGTGTTTTTGATGGTACAACTGCGCTCGCCCCAACGGTCACACCGTAAAACATATTATTGTTCAATGAGAAATAAAAAGTATTCCTTTTCAAACACTAAGTGGGTCTTGTATTCCAATAAAGTTTACTTTGTATCTTTTGTTTTCTTTTTTAGATTTTACTTACATTTTTTTTAAATATAATGATTTTTTTTATGATCAGGCTTTCATAGCACAAACTGAATTGGGTTTTGTTTTTGTTTATATTTCAAATCTCTAAATAATGCTAAAATACGATTTTTTAGTAAAAAAAATCACTTCAAAATTTCATAATTAATAAACTAATGAAAACATGCATTATAGACAGAACAAAAAGGCGAGTATCTGACATCTGGATTGCACAAAGAAACCTTATTATGTTGACATGAAGACCTTTTTATGTTAAAATTAATGCAAGACAACTATGTTAACATGCGACTTATTCTTGTCAACATGCAAGATAATAATTTCTTATCAACATACATTTCTTGCATGTTGACATAATTAACTTGCATGTTAGCATAATTATTATGCATGTTAACATAAATAAGTTGTATGTTGACATAAATTTGTTGCATGTTAACACAATTACCTTGCATATTAATAGTAATGAGTCGCATAATAACAAAATATTACTTTTGCATCTTGCCTATGATATTATATAAATATTACATGTAGCTGAGTGTAACACTGAAAATTTTCACCCCCAAAAAACCATTGTCAACCGAGGCGCAGCCAAGGTTGACAATGTTATTCGAGGGGTGAAAATTTTCAATGTTACACTCAACTACATGCTATATTTATTATATTATACTGAATCTTTTTTACAAATGCATATAACAGTGAACCGTGCGCGCATAAATTCTGCGCAATCGCTGTTTTTTTTTTTTTTTTTTTTGAGTACCACCCGTCGTCAAGCAATATTGACTTTTGCTACGCTGGAGGACGTGGCTTCTTTATTCAGCGGGTAATAGTGTTTTTTAAAAAATATTTCTCGACCAATCAGATTCAACTAATTTACATGAAAGTATAATATCATATAATGGCGTTAGAATGCAAACATTCAAATTAAAGTTGATTGGTCAATTTTATGTCAAAATAATTATTTTGCATGTTGACATAAATAAGCTGCATGCTTACATAATCATGTAGCATTTTTTCATAATTATTTTGCATGTTAACATTATTTATCTTCGATAAACAGAAACCTTGAAAATTCTTTAGAAATTGTTGACTGGTCACATAAATAGAAAGCCCAATATATCTATCAAGCTTTTAATAACTAAAGACTCAAAAATTAAATACTGATCAATGTAAAATAAATAGTATAGTTGTAATTTTAATGGTAATTACAAGTATATCTATTTTATTTGTTTATGGTATATTTTAACATAATTTTTTGAAATAGTATAAATTTTACAGAATGGTAAGGACATCTGGTATAACATCTGGAGACTTTGTAGAACTGGGTTCTCATTCGGTATGTTATATAGCCAAAGATAAGTCTGGCAATACATCCAAACAGTGCTGCTTTACCGTGTATGTTTTGAGTAAGTAATCAATAATAATTCAGCAGTGTTCTTGAACTAAAAGAAAATTTCTTTTTAAGCTTCAAAGTCAAAGATAAAAAAAAAACAGTATTTGTTTTAAAGGTTGCAAATCAATACAAAAATGTAGGCAGGTCACCTGTACAACTGCATCCAATCAAAGCTGTCGTCTATGTAACCCTGGTTATCACCCCGAAGGTCAAGAATGCGCACGTAAGAAATTCCCTTTAACATTACCTTTAAAATGTGAAGTAAATACAAAGAATCGTTATCTTTAGTAAATCTAATTTGATACAGAATTCAAAAACAATGTTGCCAAAAAGGTATATTATATACTTACAGCTACCTGCAGAATACCTAATTGCCAAGATAACAGCTTTACGTGTTTAAGTGACACTGAGGGCATCTGTACCAAATGTGTGGATGAAAATATAATCTGGAAACCTATAAAAAACAAAAGGATCTGCGCAGGTTTAGCCTATATATTGATTTAAAATGAGTAATTAACATTGTTGAAAAAGTCTTTTATCATAATATCATTAGATTAAAATCGGTAAAAATAAATATCGCAATAAATTCATATATTCAAAGATTATTCTTTTATAGGCATTAAATAAACGAATTAGAAATTGAATATAAACCACGTTTAATGTATTTGAAACATCTGACATCAAGGTATTTATTATAATGTGTAAATTCTTACAGCTATGTGCTCAATGGTAGAAAACCGAGAATGTTGGCCCGGGACTTGTTCCACAAGTCAGTTAGGCACAGACTGTCACTGCGATGCTGGTTTCCATACTGTGAAAAACTCACGTGGAAGTGTCGCCTATTGCCAGTGTATGTTAATGAAATTTCTAAAAAAAAAATATATAAGTGTATAAATAAAATGGTTCACGTAACTTTGTGCATTAGGGCAGATTATTTTCAAATTCCTTTAGATTTATGAAATGTCTATATTGTAGTGGAGAAGAAGCCTGAGATTTTAACATGTAGGTCTAGCCTTATTTTTACTGGAGGTGAAATTGTTATGTCCGACACTGAAGGAAAATCAACGTCATGTGACAATCAGAAAGATGGCTTTATAAACAAAGTTCCTCTGCAGGCCAATTTCACAAGCGAGGAATCATTCTCTATCAAGGTAACCTCACCAAGAACTGACTTTCTACAACATGGAAGCTGGAATTACGGAATATCTGGTGGAGAATTGGTCACCATACACAAAAAATTTAATGGCAAGAGTTATATTTCTTATTATTGGAATAAATATTTAAATGGACATTCTTCCCAATTTATATCTATCTATTTTTATTAATTGTCTTTACAAAGTTAATCGTCTTTGGTTGGAAGAAATTTTAACTTTAGTTCTAAGCGAACAGTTATAATTTCTCTTCTATTCATACTGTGAGGTTCTTTCTTATAATTATTTAAATACAAGTACTCTGTTTTAAATATTTTTAAATGATCTACCATTATATATTTTTTTAAATATCCAGGAGTGTTTTATTGGTGTTTTAAGAAATGTTAAAACTATATATTTTTAACGATAAAATTTATTGAAACATAACATTTTTCAGGAATGGAACATCAGATTCAAATGTCTTTGTTTGACAACGTCAACACCTCTCATTTGAAAAGTCTGGATCATCAAAGCAAATTAATGAATCTAGGTGGACACTTAAAACTAATTGATGGGGATGCGTGAGTAAAATATAAAAGCTTCAAATTTTCTTTAAAGACACAGGTTTCCAGAATCAAACAGACCTTTTTTTACATGGAAATTTTTGTATAATAATATACGACTGGCCTTGGAGATTCCTCTTTATATTATAATAAAAAATTTAATCCACCAGTTTGGTCAACCAGAGCCATCTAATGTGTTAATTTTTATTTCAATTCCATTTTGTTGAAAATACTTTTTGACAGGTAGTTGGCAGGTTGAAAAAAAGGCAACTGACCTGTAGAAAAATTAAAACCAGATTGGAACAATAACAGAGAGCAACCCGCCACAGATCAAACATTTATTTTCATGAAATTTATCACAAAAGCGAATGGTATGACCGCTTAGAAAATGATGAAAACTCGAGTCTCTTTCCTCTAAAAATATTTTAATCAGTTACTATTTACATTGACAGAATTTGCCTCAGATTCAAAGCAACGGCGACCGGATTTTTCAGAACGATTGACAAACGTTCTTCCTCTCACGTCATTTCTGAACAAATCTTCAACGGTGAAACAAAAACCCAGAGAGATGTGTGCTTTTGGTACGATTCTCTGCCGCCAGATCATTGCTACAACACCAGAACGTGTTACAACGAGCCGATTCAGATACAAGACAGAATAACAAAGAACAACATGCTTAACATTTCACTCTCCGGGTGGTTTGATCCCCAGAAGATTGAAAATAGAGACTACAATTCTTCTGGTATAAAGATGTTTGATGTCAGCATCTATATGGTTCCCCATACGAAGGGCGTATTGAAACCAGACACAACAGCTATCTGGAAGAATACATCAAAAACGAGTTCATGCCAGGAGGTTATGCTAAATCAAACAGGTCTTTATGAAATACACCTAGAGGTTGTTGATAAAGCTGGTGCAGGCGGTAATGTGAGATCTGCCAGACGATTTGTTCTGTTTGATAACACATCAAAAATACAGATCAATGAAAACAAACCATTATTGGTGACCTCAGCACATGATGTAAATGGCAAGTACTGGCAAACCGAAAAGAAAGCTATCTGCATAGACTGGACGGACAGATTTTATAATACACATCATAGGACTAACAATCTTCTGCTACCAATAAAGCCGTCAAGTGCGTTCACAGGTGTTTTTGAGCAGCTTACAGGTCCCCTTCCTATTAACGGTACATTAAACGTGCACGGAATAGTAAAATTTGAGTATTCATACAGTATAAATAATTTATCAACAGAAAGAAAAACAGTCAGTCAGCTGAATCAATTTATATGTTCCAACGTTAGTATTAGCGATGGAGATGAAGTAAAGTTTAGTATCCATTCACTGGACATAATGAACAATACCATAACAGACTCTGTGCTGATTCTGATTGATACGTCTGTTCCTGATATTGAAAATATCTGGTTGAGAAGAAATTCCCATGGTGATGTCTACGTTCATAATTCAAAAGAACTCTCAAAGATGAAACTGAAATTTGAAGCTTTTGATTCGGAAAGTGGAATAAAATCTATTCAATGGTACTTGGGTTCAAATGATGGAGCTTCGGATCTGGGAAATGGATCATTTGGTGTAAACGTTCTTTCAAGAAATGTAAACATCTTTAATTTTGTTCAGGAATAATCATTTAAATAAGATCATAATTGATGAAATTTAAAAATAAATTAATTCAGTTTTAGTTTTCCATCAGGTAATTTTAAAAAGAATTTCATGTTGGGAATACTTATGCATTCATTTTTCAGATAAGTTGTAACAAAATCGAGAATTGTTATTGTCCAAAGCATGGAAGCTGTGAACTTTACAACTATACCCTAGACCTATCGAAAATTATTACAGAGGCACAGCACAATAGAGAGTATTATTTCACAGTTTTGGTGACGAACAACGCCGGTCTGCGTTCCTTGCAGCATCTCGATGTTCTTGTAGACGAATCTCCTCCTGTCAATGGTTCTGTAAAGGAAGGAATCCCTGGAAGCCAAGATCTCGATTTTACTGCCACTGAAAAAATAACTGTGAATTGGAACGGGTTTATAGACCACGAAAGCGGAATATCCCATTACGAAATATTTCTTGGAAAACAATGCATACCCGATGTATTAGATCTAATGAGTAATATTTCAAGTGTAACTTCTGTGATAGAAAGGAAGATAACAAGAACGACATATCAATCATTTAATCTTCCCGGGAAAGGTCATTTTATTTTTACTGTCATTGCATTTAATAATGCCTTAGAACCTTCAAAAGCAAGTTGTTCTGATGGGATACACTATGCCGAGGCTTTTGAAGTGATTGATAATATCACATCAAAAAGCTTTAACGTTGACGAAGGGGTTGCATGTATTAATGATGTACCTTTTTTGATCACTACAAAGATGAAACGCATAAAGTTGCGATCAGTTTCAAATTGCTTTAGCATATGCCAAAACCTGTCCTTTCCGGACTTTCTTCAAAATTTGCCCGAAGAAGCAACACAAATATATAATGATTCAACCTACGCGCAGGGAATATGTTCACGAGTGAAACCGTATAAAGATAATATAATATTTATCTCATCAGAATTCTGGAAATTAGCATGGGGTGTCAAGGACCGACATGCAGTAAGAGAATTTGAAATAGGCATTGGAAATCACCCATCTTCAATGTCACATCCAGATCTCAAACCTTACACTTCAACTATCTCACAGACGCAGTACCAGTTTGGCAGAGACGGTGTCGGAAGTCAAGAACGGCATTACGTCTTTCTGAAGACAATTTTCAAGTCTGGTGAAGAAAAGATTTTAACGGTCGGACCTATGTTAGTCGATTCAAGTCCACCTACATTCAACGGGGATATTCTCGTTTATACTGAGGCTCCGTACTTGTTCATTGGATGGGAAAATGAAACCTTTATCGAACCAGAGCAAGGAAACGTCATCGAAGAAATATTTTTTCGGATAGGTACGTTTCGAGCTAAGGTGTTGATATTTTTTAAAATTATAAACATCATATGCATTTCTTTACCTTATTTGTGTTTTAAATTTGAGTGAATTACTTAGCAACCTTGACAGAAAACATTTTATCACGATTCGAGGTCATTTTATCCAGTTGAAATATCCTTTCAAAATGACATTTTATGAACTAGTCAGTACTTTAATAAAAATAAATATTATTTTAAAGTTATAAATTAATATTTGTTAAGGTTATATATCCGTATTTCATATTCTAGGAACACTCGACATGTTTGCAACGCCTCTTGTACAGTACTACCATACCCATTATCTTGAGGACGACTGTCCATTTTCCAATGTGGTAGGATGTACGAAGTATCCCTTGAAGAAGATTCATTACAATAAGCAGGACAACGATTTCTTCGTGGAGTTGATAATCTACAATAGAGTGGGATTATCCTCAAGAAAACGATCCAAAAGTTTTCATCTTCCTTCCAAGGTTCCACCCGGTGATGGTATAGTCATAGACGTTGATCCTGATGCAGATTCATCCGATAGAGATGCTGATTTTCAGATAAACAATTCGACCATATGTCTATCGTGGAATGGCTTTGCACATAATCAGAATGTATCCATACATGCAGGACTTGGTTCAACTCCAAATTCAACAGACGTAGTTGCCTTTATAATAGTGGCTGGAAATCGATACTGCTTTAGAAACATGTCGCTTGCATCCAACACAAGGTATTACTCTGTCATACGTGCTAGCTGTTCCGGTGGGTCATCGTACGCAGTGTCCGATGGCGTGACTCTAGTCGACATCGAAGCTGTTGATAAAAGACTGCAGATCTTTAATGGACTGGGCTGCTCTGACCAAGATATTGTATATCCATCTTATATTAACCGAAACAAAACACATGCTGTATATTTTTATAAGAACTTGACAGTTTTAGAAACATATACTTTGTTCATCCAAAATATCAATATTACAGATAAATTATATACGCCTGTGTATTCAAAGGGTTTTATCGAAAGAGGAAAGGGTCATCTATTTGATGCATCAACATTTGAACTAATGAACCCAGATGCTCATGGAAGTATAACATTTGAAAGGTTTAACTTGTCGGACAAAGTAATCGTTCTGAAGAAGTGCCATTATAATAGAAAGACATTTAGTACCAAAAATACGCTGTCTCTGAACTGGATGTATAAAATGTTGAAAGATGACTACCCAACACATTTTGAAATATCTATCGCGAAGATAGCAAAACATGGGACGGAAATAGTGAAATCAGAGATGTCTAGAAGGAGAAGATTAACATTTGTAAATCTTACTTTGAATATAGACGATACATACTGTGGAATAGTCAAATCTTGTTTTTCAGTTTATTGTTCAGAACCAGTCCTTGGGTCGCCTGTCAGATTTGTTTCAACGCAATCCAAAATGAATATTATTGCAACAATGCATAGCAAAGATGAAGCCTATATAGTAGACATTAAAGTCACACCTGAAAGAAATACCCCCAGAAGATGGTCTTATAAGATGGATGCTTTCGGAGGATATTCATGGAAAAAGAAGGACGACCAAGTGGTATTTTTTCTCAAAAGAAAATTCTATGGAGGTAAAAACAAATTTTAAAGAAATTTAAAGAATATCACTTTTCATCTACAGTCATTATAAATTGCTGTTTTCTTTTCTTCTTGCAGTCATCCTTAGTCCTTTCCAGAGAAGAGATATATTCAAAACATCCTAGATTCGCATGCATTGAAGATACTCACAATACATTGCTATCGCCCGTCCATTGTGTTCTTATTCAGAACACATTTTCTTATGGTACTAATGGTGTGAACATTTACCTAATTGATGAGAAAAATCCAGATTTACAAAAGATGAAAACAATGTCACATAGCCGAAATATTGGGGCAAATGTTCTTTTATTTGAAAAAGCTCGCCTTCAATTCACAACAAGTGAAACAAAAGTAGCTGGAATAATAGTAGGAAACCAAGGGTATGATTTTGATGTATATCTAATGACTAAAAACTTTATTCCTGCAAGCGAGGAGAAATGTCATTCGGAGAAAAGCTGCTTAGAGTTCATCCATGCTAACGATGGATTTATCACTTTTCACGGTTTGCACCTTACGCATGGAGACGAAATCTTCGTATGCACTCGCTCAAGTAGAATTGATGCTAATGCAGAGGATACAGATAACGATATTGATGAGAAAATAGAGATCTGTAGTGAGGGATTGAAAATCAACGATTCTCCTCCTTCTGCTGTGGATATCAATATCAAAAATTTAGTTAACGGTTATACGTCAGATGTGTCTGAGCTAGATGTTGAATGGAATATACCGACTTTATTTGTTCCCTTACTAGAGTTTCAATACTGTGTCGGTGAGCAATTTTAGATAGTAGAATACATATGAGATTGATTATATTTATGGTCATATGAATTAATCTGTACCTCAGATATTTGTATTTGGTTCTAGGTACTGTACCGGGCTTGGATGATGTCTTGCCATTTACGTCCTCGTACGAAGAAAGCAAAGTTACTATCCGGAATTTTACTCTTACACATGGATCTTCATACTTCGTCTCAGTAAAAGGTTTGACCATATAGAAAAGCTTCTAAGCTTACAAAGAATTAAAATGTCTGCCATTGCATCTTTCAGGTAGTTGGACTACTTTATATAGGCTTTGAATACTTCTATTTATAGCAATTGACCGCTCGGGTCTAGAGTCGCTTTCGTCATCGGCTGTCTTCACGGTAGACTTATCTCCCCCTATTCCTGGAAGATTTATTATTGGTTACAAGGACAGTGAGGTGAAAATCAGTAGAAATACCCTGCCTGTCTTGATTGAAAACTTTGAGGACCCTGAAAGTGGAATAGATCGAATCACTATCCGTGTTGACGGAGTGAACAAAAACTACACTTCAGATTTCATCGTAAAGGATGGATATTCCCACATAAAATTCAACGAAAATGTGACAGATGGTTACATATATAAAGCGATTATTTCAGTACGTAAGGCCTACACACGTCATCTTAATGTAACTCTTCAACCTTCATTTTCTTATGATGTTTTATACGTTGTCATATATGTTAATTTTGCTATTGTAGGTAACAAATAGAGCAGGACTGACAACAGAAGTAGAATCGAACACGATTTTCATGGACAACTCTCCTCCAACAATTGGATCTGTATTTGATGGAGAAGAAATTGTGAGTTGAATATCATAAACATTAATATTCATGAACAACAATGCAAATAGTATCATATTCCTTGAGATGTATCCAATAAATACATACCAACTATTTCCAGGGAAGAGATACGGACTACCAAACAAACACTAGGAGTATATCTACCTCATGGGACTACTTTTCTGATCCACACTCTGATGTAGCGTTTTACAGGGTAGGATTAGGAACAACTAAAACAACAACAGACGTATTTGGAATGACTTATGTTGGAATGAAAACAAGTAAACAATTATTGGTGGATTATATATTTATTTGGAAAATGCATGTAATCACGTCAACAATTATATAATTTCTTATTTATGAGATTGTGCCTTTCTTTCAGATTTTACATGGGAAGAAGAGTTTGAAGTAGGAAGAAAGTATTTTGTATTTGTGGAATCCTGCAATGGAGTGCGATTATGTTCAATAGCGCATTCAGATGGCATTACTCTCGACAAAACACCACCGATCCCTGGAGTCATTAGTATTGGTCACTCATATCATGACTCCTTTATACCGGATAAGTATGTGTAAAAAAACACAATGACATTTTATGATCTTAACAAATACCTCTAAATACATATATTTAATTAGAAAAATATCAATATCAATTATAGTGTAATGTTAAGAATTTTTAATTTCATATGATTTTAAATTTTATTTTGTGTTATAGAAAAAATTTGACATCACATATCTTTTGTACCCCTCTGCAATTCTATACAGAAAAATCAAATTTTGCATACCATTTTCAGGAGATCAATCACCATACAATGGATCGGATTTGAAGATCCAGAAACAGATATTCATTACTTTGAATGGTGTCTTGGGCGTAGCAAATATGGCTGTGACGTCCGAGAGAAGGAAAATGTTTTACTTGCCAATAAAATATATAAATCTGGTCTGCGGTTGGCTCAGAATGTTTCTTTATTTGCCACAGTTTTTGCTTACAATAATGTAGGACTATATTCCAGTTCAACCTCCAAAATGTTTAAGGTTGACGACACTGCACCTGTGTTAACCGATACACCTATCTTTTTATCCCTCGACTCTCTTGAGGGGGCCTCAAGATACCAGTATGACAATTCAATATTAAAAATGAGATGGAAATTCGAAGAAAATGAATCAGCTATCATTGAGATTCACATCATTATTAAGGACACAAGGAATGGCGAAGACTTGTTTGACCAAGCAGTCCGAGGGAACATTGATGATACGATTATAACGATTTCAGAAGGAAAGAAACTTCGAAATGGCGACTCGGTTATTGGAATCGTTACTGCTTGTAACATAGCAAAACTGTGTACCACAGCATCTACGCGACCACTTATCATAGATTCTTCAAGACCAAATCAAGGAGGATTTTCTTATCCGATTAACTGGAGACTCATGAAAGAAAATTACTGGTTTTATATAAATTGGTATGGGTTTTCTGATGAAGAAAGTGATATTTCAAACTATTATATCACTGTCGACAAGACATACAGCGGATCAAATTTATCTCAAGGACCAATTAAATGTTTGGGCAATAGTACAAGCATTCATGTTCCAGTTAATAGGACCCTTTGGAGCTTAAACGACGACGTAATTCTCACAATTTGGGCTAAAAATGGAGCAGGATTGACAAGTTTTTTTTCGAAAGTAACAGTAAAAGCGAGGGTTACCGACAACTCATCCATGAATGGTCAATTTTACATACAACGTCATTCGTGTTCCGTGCATTACTGTAATAACGACTGCACCTGCTCAGTAGTGGGAAAGAAATGTACCACGTCAGCATCAGAAATGAAACACTGTAAATCTACACCAGCCAGTGTAGGCATTCAAGACAGTAATATCATTATACGCAATGCATTTCAGGATGGGAAAATTCTACCTTCGAGTTCCTGTGTGAGTGTAGATTTTGAAAAGTTGAATTTATCCGTAGCCGATACCGTTTTAAGATTTGAATGGTCTGTGGCGCTAGAAGGTGAGGATCCTGGTATTGGGTTTTATGATGAGAAAGAATATCCCTGGCGAGACATAGGCATGAGAATGAGTGATACGGAATGTTTACCTGGACACAAAGAACTTGAAAATGGAGCGTCATATGTTGTGTACATCAGAATCTGGATTTCATCAGAAGATTATTTTATCAGATTTTCAAAAGCATTTACTATTGATACCCTAGGGCCAATTGTTAGGATGGGGAAGTATATCAAAACGTACTTAAAAAATCACGCAAAACAAAACAATGTTCGCTTCATCACAGACATAAATGATCAAGTCTGCGTTGAATGGAATACCGTGTTTTCTGATGGAAAAGGAGATATAAAGGGCTATTATTTGATGCTTGGGAGTCAGTCCAAAGGTTTGTTCATTATTATGATCACCATTATAAGTCTGTGACAATATTAATATCTGATATTACTCGTCGTATTTTTATAACCTATAGAAATAAAAGTTTGACTCATTTAAAGTTATTCTACATACAGAGGTCAACTAAAAGATTTGAATGTACATTCCATTTTTCCAGCTGATGATATCATACGACGAAAATGGATGGGAAAACTAGAAGAACTGTGTTTAACAACAACAAACATGACAGCGGGAATCGAGTATGTATTTTCTATTACAGCCGAAGATGAAGTGGGGATGACCATGACAGCTGAATCAACACCATTTAAAATTGACAACACACCACCCATTGCTGGAAAAGTCTATAATACCAACAAATACAGAGACATACGATACTCAACTTCTACCACATCTCTTTCTGCATCTTGGCATGGCTTTAAAGATGACAGTTCTCATATATCTCACTTTCAGTTTCGAGTCAGAAACAAAAACAGTTTTCTTAACACGAGTCAAGATATCGGTAACACTACCTATAAAACATCTCTTTTTATAAATAATATTGATTTAAAACAGGGGGAGAGTTACGTAATTGATGTTCGCGCTTCGGATGGTGCAGGACTGTTTAGTCAATTTATTTCTAGCCGTCCCATCTTGATAGATTCCACGCCACCTCTGGGGTTTTCATGTGAACACAAAACAACGAAGAACGTGAACTTTGCTGTTCTGCCTGATTTTGCTGAGTTCACATTCAACGTAGAACCTAATATGGTCTACACGTTTACTTTTAAAGTCAAAGAGAGACAACTAAAAGAGTTAATTTTCGTCATCAACAATAAAACTGAAATTCTGTCCTTTGATTCAACTAATGGTGTTGATATGCTCTCTGAATATCGATTGATTTCATCAGAATCTCGAAGAGAACATTACAAGGTGATCTCAAATGATGTTGACATGCTTAACAATTTTGAAATTAATGTTTCTGAGTGTGACCTGAATGTCGATAGTGGACTGAATGCAGTCGAATTACAAGAAATTCATCCCTCTTTGTTGAAAGTGAGCACACATGTTTATGACCCGGAAAGTGGCATAAAAAGTATAAAAGTTTCAATTGGAACAACTGCTTTTGGAAAGCAAATAATTTCTGATTTTCTAATGGATCAGCATTATAAGTTTCTTTATGTTACGATTCCCCACAATACCACAGTTTATGCCTCAGCTAAAGTTTCCAATGGTGCTGGTGTAAGTCGATTGTTTTCTTCAAAATCACTAGTTATTGACGACACACCTCCTGTACTGGACCTTTTTGGTTCGAATTTGGAGATTGTTTATGGGGAAAATTCTACTTTTACGAAGTACAAAGGAACCTTTCAGGTGACGGACGAAGAAAGTGGAGTAAAAAGCTGCTATTTTGCAATCGGTAATAGTGATGCTCTTTAAGGAATAGGTCTTCATTTACTTATTCTTTAAGACCGTTCATGCACTGATGTTTAACTTCTTTCTCAAAAAAATAATCTTCGCTTGAAATTAAGCAAAAATGAATTGAAATATACGGTAATTTATTAAATGTCATTGAATTTAGGATCGATTACACTTTCCTTGCATTTATGGACAACATAAACTTATGAAAAACTCCATTTGCATATTTATTATTATTTAATTTCAATTTTAAAAAAGAGTATATCTCTGGCTTTTGATATTTTTTCGAAAGTTGACTAGTACTAGTATGATTAATACCATTTGTTGAAGATAGAATACACAAACTCAATTTTTAGACCTTTATTCTATTTTCTTAATGTCAGAAAAGTATTTTCTTATAATTTTTAGAAGATACTTTATTCAAAAATATATCTTGATTATTCTTTCTAATTAATATGGAAAAATTGTCATTCTAACATGAAGCAATAAGATAAAGAGGGTTCAATCATATTCATGTACTGTTACCTATCCGTTTATTTATAAATAAAACAAAACTTCCATACAAATCTTCAGTTTTGAAATGTGTAAATATATCTCAGACTTTTTCATTTAGGTTCGAGTCCAGCTTCAGAAAACATACAGCCTTGGAGTCCTGCAGATATTTTGAAAGAAGAATTTATTTCGATGGACTTCAAGATCTTCCATGGCATGAATGTTTTTGGGAAAGTAAAATGCAGTAATACCATAGGTTTAGTTAAACAGATGGTATTTGATCCAATCGTAGTTGCTCTGGCACCTCCAGATTCTAACAGAGCATCCATCAGAATAATCGAAAAATGCGCTGAAGACATTCCGGTCGTGTCAGACAAAAACGCACTTTTGCTGCATTGGAAAGGGTTTTTCGATTTCATTTCTCTGAAAAAGTTTGACTTTAGAGTATCATCTGAGCATAAAGCTTTGAGCCCTTGGAAAGCATTAAATGAACTTGATTATATAAATATTGACGGAATGCAGCTGGAGGACGGACACAGATACAAGGCTGAGGTTAAAGCATTCAACTCCTTCCAAAACGGATCAGAGGTAGTTCAGCAAACGTTTCTGGTGGAGACTAGGGCTCCAATCTTAACAGGTAAGATTGATTTTATAGTAATATAAAATAATTCAATGAACCAATATTTTTTATTTTCATAAGCTAATCAAATAGTTTTTTCTTTGAAAGTCACGTCCCAGGAAGTATATATTAAAAACTAAAATTATATATGTACACAAAAAATGAAATTTGACTTATAATTGCTATATCTTTTGTTAATTTTCTTATCAAAGGATTTTCGATTATTTAGGTAACCGTCCAAATGTTTCTATGCAAGAAAACTATGTCATGATTGAATGGACTGGTGTTTTCAGAACACATTCCGAACTTAATTTGACATTTGAAGTTAATGTTGGATCGCAGAAATATTTCAGTGATTTGCTGCAGTCAAAGAGAACCAAGGAGAGTAAACTAAAGTTGGATCTACCCAAGAACGAAAAAATTCTGGCCATTTTTCTGTCGATTAAAGCCGAGTTTTGTACAGGACTGTTTTCCATTTACTATGGCACTCATGCTCTCGAGTAGAAATTATTTGATGTGTACCATTGATGCATTCGTTTAAAATTCCTTGCTTGCTTTTACATTTTAGCCTTATCAATGTATATGTTATCTTGTGTTTGAATAAAATAAAATACATTTATTAGAGTTACTGTATTTTTTGTTTTATGTATAGTTCGTATGTGAAAGATAACCAACAGCAATAAAAATTATGAATGGAGCCAATTGCAACAGACAATTCTACCGTGAAAATCAGAGGTGGGATAAACTTAAGTTGTCAAAGAAGGAGTAACCATCTCCTGTCGACCGTTCAAGCCATGTGTGTGTTTTAAGTCATGATTGGTTAGGTGATAAAAGTCTTAGTCGATCCAGTATAAAAAAAAATCATATAATAGTTTGCATCGAAGACGTCACTTAAGTCATGATCGGTTAAGTGAAAAAATTCTTAATAATCAATTCAGTACAAAAAATAATAAAATCATAGTTTGCATCAGAGACGTCAGTTAAAATTTGCCCCAAAGGCAAATTGCTTTTTTAAACAAGACCATTATATTGACGATAAAATTTGCTAAACTTCATATCCCTGGATCAACAAAGTATTTTTAATACTTGCCCTCTGTAAGAAATTTACTGTACGTAGAACATGTCCATGATTTGGAGACATAAACTACTTTTACATATGATAGTGATTTATTGCTCCTTAAAAATGGCAAGTAGATGATAGAAAAGTTGAAGTCATCATGTTTATAATAAAACTTTGCCGTAAGATAAAAATGAATGTCTTTTAAGTGTAAAAGATCCAAATATTAAACAGATGTATCAGACTCTGTGGTATCTTTTATCTCAAACTCACCGAGATATATCGTGTCAACATGAGAATGGAAATTACCCTTGTTAATTGACAATACGTCGTCGATATATCCAAATGTCTAGTTCAAGGCAACAACAATTTATTTCTTCTTTTCAAGTGAAAGATTTTGAACAATGTCTGCGTGATATGACTATACAAATAGGTCTGCTAATAACGGGGCGTAATTGGTACCCATAGGAATTCCAATAAATTGTTGGAAGACCTGGTCTTCAAAAACCACATAGATATTATCAATCAGAAACTCAAGCAACGTTTTATGATAAAAATAGTTTTTTCCATTCTTTTGTCGACACAATAGATACCGGTGAAATAAAAGATACTAAACAGTCTGACAGTCTGACACATTTGTTTCAGATTTTGATCTTTCACTGGAAAAAAGACATTGATGGTTAACTCACAACAAAGCTTTATGATTAACCTGATTACTTTAACTTTTCGATCGTCAACTTCCCCTTAATTATGTAGCAATATACCTTAGTCACCTATATACGAACTTGGGCTATACAATGATCTTGTTATTATATAAATAAAATAAAATTATTGAGTCAGGTGCTGACTGAAGTTTCTCCTACCGATTGTTAGTCCACCATTTACACACTGAATTGACAACGGATATTTCCGTTATTTTCCGAGCATGACAATGAGCACACAGCGGGTGTGACCAGTCGGCAGGAGATGCTCACACCTCCATGACACTTGATCCCACTCTGATCTTTCGTAGGTCCGTTTTGCTTCGCTCCTATTGTATTATTTTAAATGGACTTTTGAGTTCGAATACTCTTCCTTATCTCCACATATTTCCTTGTAACTAAAACAACCAGTTAAACTTAATTGTGTTTTTAGATAAAACGTTTTTGTCATTGTGTTGAACACAAGTATTTCAGGCACGCAGCAAACATTTTCAAGGGGGATACAACCTCCAAAAGATGTTGACAGACAAACAAAAGTATTGATAAACTGTCAAAAGTCAAAAAATCCTTCTTGTTTCGGAGGAGGAGGGAGGTGAGGAGAGACATTTCTCTAAACTTTTTCAATACATTTTCACTAAATTACCTATTGGTTTTTGCTCAGCATCTGAACATACCGGGACTTTTGTTTGCCTACACTTTACCTCAGAAACAAACAAAAATGTGTATTTGTAATGTTATCCACAAATAAACCACAGCATTCCTTTTAAACGTATTTCAAAGATCGAAATATTGATTACTCCTTGATTTCTGTCAATAGTATTCGAACTGTAAATCTTTTAAGATTTTCTTTATTCATAAATTTATTCTTTGATTCTTATACAGAATCTAAAAAATATTAACATCAAAACGTACACGTATATGTGCAATTTGTTCAAAGACAACGTTGACAATGTAAAACTTCTTTTGTTCAAATCCTTCTTTATCCTGTAGTTTTTAATTTGATCTCATAGAAAAATTATCTTGCCAAGATCTATAATAGAACAGGATAAAGGATATTGATTTTGACAATTGTTACTTTGTTTATGTACAAATGGTCAAAATATAGGGCTAAATAAAGTAAGAAGGATTGGAATTTGTATTATGTTTTCTCTAAATTTGAACTTTTACAAGAATACAAAAGTTATTCCGATAAACGTGACGGCATAAGGATGTACGACAATACTTTTGAGGAATTAAACACACGATGATTTGATAACAAGTTAAATTTTATTTCGGTAAAAAAAATCACTTTCTGCATCACAATGAGAATATATAAAATGATATATTTTATGACGTGGCTTGTTTTTGCAATCTCCATGACAATGTGTCACATCAGTTTGACATCATGTGGCGCGACCGAGGACTGTGTTTATAAACAGTGGATGTCCTGGCGGCCGTGTGCTGGTCCGTGTGGAAAGCAAATCCAAAGCAGACAGCGTGTTTTCTGTTGCAGGTCATCTATCCCGATTAATCAAAGGAATCTAGATGTCTGTACATCGGCTTGCAACGTGTCTAAGGAATACATTAATGAAGGGAGGTATTGTCTTGCCTGCTTTAACAACGGTTCTCTTGACAATAGAAATGTATGTCGTTGTCCCACGACTCACAAAGGAGGCTGTTGTCAAGGTAGGATTTAGTTAATTACTATTCCAATTACTTGACAAGCGAATGTCCATGCATTTTTCAAAATAGTTCAAAGTTGAAATCTTCCAAGTGCACTTTTATAAGTTTAAGAAAATTTCTCACATTTTCTGAAATAGCATCCAGGTTTTTTCAACCACTGGAAAATAGAGAAGAATAACTCGTACGTCGTGATCTTTAAAATCAAAATATTTTAAATGCTTCTAAAAATAAATTATAGATAAGAAAAATTCATTTATGTATATTTCCATTAAAATAATGAAAAAAACTATATTAAATTTCAAGTTATCAAACTGAAAGGTGGGGTATTTCAAATCCTCTTAACTTGAATAATATGTATCCCATACAATCTAAATTCAAATGCAGTTAACGTTTGTCATATTAATTTTAGGCCATTGTTCACATAATGAATTGTCGACGGATTTTTTTCTGTTATTTGCCGATCAAAACAATAAGCACACGGTGGGTGTAATTGATTGACAGGGGATGCTCATTCCTCCAATGATACCTGATTCCACCTTCTGGTGTTTAAAAAGTCCTTGTTTTCTCTGGTCCTAATTTGAATTGTTTGGATTGACTTTTGAGCTTGAAAACCGTGCGTTATCTCCATATATTCATTAATAGGCAGCGCACCAGTTTGAAAGTGTAATTGTCACAAAGTCACAATTGCGTTATTGTCACAATGTTGTTTATGAAATAACAGTTTATTCATATTCTCAGTAATTTGTCTTTATCGATACAGCAATTTTCTTTAATACGAATATGCATGTTTATTTATTCAAATTGAAGGTAAAAGGTATAGATAAAACAGTTATAAATCTCATAAATTCAGTAAAGAATACGTATTGTATACGGGGTCAAAACCCAGATTTATAAAATGCAAAATTTTGAATTCTGTTAAGAGGGCTAAAAAGCAACTTCCGGTAGTGGAAAGAAATCCATTTAACCGTTAAATAACTGATTTGGCAAATTAAAAGATGTCTTAACTTTTTTGGTACATATTTATAACCCGTATATAATTTTCACCCTAAAATTAGGGTGAAGCATTTCTATTGACAGTGAGTATAGTATAAAGATAATCCAAAGGTGAAACATAATATGACATTAACAAAATAAAATCTGATAAGGGAAGGTAGGGTAAGGGCCAAATCTGTACCCCTATTTGGCGTAAAAATTAGAACACTGGTAAAATTGTGATAGTTAAAACCAGCACTAATTTGTATTCAAAGCTTACAAGGAAGCTAGTATAGGGTGCAGAAGTAGGACATTTTTCCGAATTTCCTCAATTTTGGTGAAATTTCATCATTTTGAGATACTTTTTTGTTCGGAAAACATAGAGAACAAGCTTGCCTGTCTGAGGTTTTTACACATAAACTGCATCCCATACTAGTGTATAATAAATATAAATTTGGTAGATAGGCAAGCTTGTGCTCCATGTTTTCCGAAACGAAATGTGCTGTAAAATCGATGAAAATATGCATAAAAATTTGAAAATTGACCTATTTTCTGACCTCTCTGTGACCTCTGTAAATTCCAAAACTTAGAACCAGTACTTTTTTGTGGAAGTGGTGACAAAAGGTTTTTATGGATAAACTGTTGCATCATTCTGAAAGACATTCAAAATCAGGGACCAAGAATAGGTCTTAAGGATATACAATCCTCAGCCAGGAAGGATAACTCTTTAATTTATAATTTAATTCAAAAAAAATTAAAATAAAGCTTGAAATTGAATTTTTTTCGAATTCATGCAACAATTTTCATTGTATGCTTCTACGTATGATTCAATGTTCTTTAAAGCTTTAACAAACGGTATTAAAAAAGTTGACATTTGTACCTCATAAAATTAAGTAAAACTTGCATATTTAAAAAAAATCAAATTTCTTTTAATTTAGCCTTAGTTACCAATGTTTATAAGCATGATTTGAAATTAGAAGTGATTTACGGTGTTTTCTTTGAAAGGAAACACTTCATACACTATGCATTATGAAACGATGGAAGTAAGTAGGAGAAACAAAAGTACCAAATAATTGTAAAATTCATGCAATTTTCTTTAATAGCCTGGATACCTATGATTTTTATTCCTAAAATGTATTTCTTGATCAATTATCAATTAAAAAATATGCAGTAGGTAGTTCAAATCGCATTTCCTGAAAAATTATTTGAGATTTAC